GTTCTATGATTCTATGTATAATGGAAGAATTGTATTTTATTCTCTCTTACACCACGTTCTTTGTTCTAATACTGTTGCTCTCCAGAGACTTCTGGAAGAAAATATAAAACAGGATTTATGGTTATTTTTTGTCAAGATTTTTTTTTCCTGACCCTTTCCATGGTTTCAGAAATTCTGACACAGTGTAAGGAAGCAAGTATCAGCAGGGGCGTATACACAGAACAGAATGACTTTATATTCATGTATAACAGAAATGTACTTCTGAAAATGAGTACAAAGAGTATCATAACAAAATAAAACAAAAAACCAAGGAGAAGAGTACCTGGGAACTTCAATTGAACAAACACTTTTATATATATAATGAATGCTGTTGGTTTAATAAAACTTCAGCTATCAGATTTATTATAGTTGTAAATGCCAATAAACTGTATCTTGGTATGCTTGTAAATGTACTTGAAAATGTACATCACACTTTTCAGAGGTTCAGGATAGGCACAATTCACTTTCATAAGAACAGGATCTTGAAGTTCTCACTCATATTTGGAAGCATATAAAGGATTCATGTGTTGTAAAACATCTCTGTTGAAAAGTTTTGGACCCTTTATTTCTCTCTAACATGCAAACATATATGAAGTTTGGGGGATCTAAAAAATAAAAGAAGACCTGAATTACAATTTTAATGCATATACTAAAGCAAGTCAGTTTGCTAGAGCAAACTATTAGCACAAACAGTAACACCCAAGGACTTCAATTGTGATAAGAGAGGAACAAAGCTTTATTCCAGAAACTATATAAACACAGACCAATGGGAATGATGGAGAAAAGATGAGATAAACACCAAAGTTTCTAGTCTACTCACTAAATGCCCTTTTGCTGAGTTTGGTAAATGGATCTCTCAGGAGCAACCATATTGACAAGCAACAAAGCCACCTGAGAATGGAAGAAAATATCCATTGTTAGATCAGCAAGACAAAGAGCTGGCAGGAAAATATTTGGTCTTACACAGCACCTTTCCAGGTCAGATTTACTGAAGTTAAAACATTTAGGTACGAATTTTAATGATTTTTTTAGAGTACATAAATGCAGCAGAAATCACAGGCATAAGGGAATATGATCATATGAAAAAGCACTGTAATCAAAAATCATAGAATCATAGAATGGTTTGGGTTGGAAAGGACCTTAAGATCACCCAGTTCCAACGCCCCTGTCATGGGAGGGACACCTCCCATTAAACCATGTCACCCAAGGCTCTGTGCAACCTGGCCTTGAACGCTGACAGGGATGGAGCATTCGCAACTTCCTTGGACAACCCGTTCCAGTGCCTCACCAGCCTCACGGTAAAGACCTTCTTCCTTATATCTAACCTAGACTTCCTTTGTTTAAATTAAAACCCCTTAACCCTTGTCCTATCTCTACAGTCCCTAATGAACAGTCTCTCTCCAGCATCCTTGTAGGCCCCCTTCAGATACTGGCATCAAGGAAGTTAGTTTTTGATCATAGAACCTCAAGATTTGTGACTGAAAGCTAAGTAAAATACCCACAAAACCCCCAAACCAAACAACTGCACCCCTGCTGCTTTTCCTTTGTCTTTAGTGATCAGACACAAGGAGAACAAATTCTAAGATATTGATGTGGATGTTACAAAGCTTTATTTCTCTTGGCTGATTGTCAGCAAAGGAACATGAAGAACTCTCACTAAGCAGAGATGCAATATACAGTTATTTCAACTACAGCCATTTGAAGTAATCTGAGACTTCTGGGCTGTTGTAAAACTAAATTGGAAAGAAGTAGTGGAAGAAGCTACTAAGGTACTTAAAAAGCGGTGTTCCATTGCAATATTATTTTTTTGCTTGTTTTCTTTAGTAGAAGTTGAGAAGTTATGGTTTACTAACAAATATTACAATACAACTTGTCAGCTAAACCTACCAAAATCACACTTTTTATTGGCATCATTCCTATTTTCAATACAGCTTCCAGTTATATAACAGGAAAGTGCAAACCTGCCTAGACAGACACAGCTGCAGCTTGTTTCTTCCTCAAATTGGTTTAATCATGCAGTTATCACAGCTCATCCTGAATAATTTGCTAACAGAAGGGAGAACAGTGACATAATATAAAAATATTGATGTCATCATTGCAATTCTTTAATTGAACATCAGTATTTTCAAATAGATTTAAACACAGTTTAATAGTATCTTCATATTGTTTTGATTTTCATTGTTTAGTTGATGACATTGCATAAACTGCTGCTTCTACAGATGTTCATATAACAATCAATGAAATGGTTGCCACTATTTCATGGCTCTTATTGAGTGGAACTAGTACAAGCAACAATGATTCACTGTCAGCATTAAGGAAACCTTTGAGAAGCAGTATAGTCTCCTCCTAAATTAGAATATCAGATACTGCAACTTACACATTTGATCTTTACACACAAGCTCTTGCAGAATCAAAAGCAAAACACTGTCCCCTCAATTCTTTCATCACAGCTGCTCTCCACTTTCTGTACATATACCTTTGGTTTTTAAAGTCAAAAAGGGTAATCATAAAGAAGGATAAAATAATAACCTAGACCATTATCAGTAGGAGAGCTTGAATTTAAGGACTTGCTACTAATCGTAAGAAGAAGTTAGTCCTATCTGAATTTGTCAATGGTAGTGAAATATGTGACTGAGATCAACGTAATCGAAGTACCAAAATTCAAATGCTTTTTCAGATTTTATCAATGGCAGCTGAGAAGTGTAAGGCTCAGTGTATCACCTTCTGAGCTTTTAATCAGTTCAATGACTTTGAGTTAGGGAGTTGATTTTGCTGTTGTTGATAGTACAGTAAAATAACAGTCCTTCACTACTGGCTGTTTTCAACAAGGAAAAAATAACAAAAATGTTGTATATGAGATCTTAAAATTATTAAAGTTAAAAAAAAAATACTCCTGATTCTCCCTTTAGCTTATTAAAAAAAAAAAAAAAAAGATGAAGTGTTCCTTTCCTCAGAAATATGAAAAAGAGAATAAAAAGCATTGAAATAAATCTGAGAAAGAGTTCTGGATAAAAATCAAAACAGTAACATGTCAGCTGGAACATCAGTAGCAGGAGAAAGAAGGGATGCTGTTTTATTAAGAAACTGAAGGAGAAAATAACAAATGCAACTACAGGCATATAAGATATATTCTACTGCATTATACAGAAATGTATCTGGTAAGTCATTCAGATTTAACTGGCTGAGAGAGCTAGGTCATTTTCTGACAAAAAAAAATAAAATAAAGAATTTGCATTTTATTAGCTGACTATACTGGTGTTATTAATTACACTTTGCACAGATTGCAAAAGGCAAGCAAACTTTTTCTGTGGAAAAGGGAGTTTAATCACTGCAGTTGGAAGAACCTTTCATTTTTTTCTTTGCACAGAAACTGTCCCATGAAAATATACCTAAACATTTTTCTTAGCTTAAAAGATAGGATTGAAAGAGGGTATGTACCAGTCAGCAGAAGTCTTTGCTAAGGTGTTTGCTCAAAAATCTCACATGGCATTTCTTCTAAAGTTTGGTTTTAAAATTTCTTCTAAAGTGCTATCAGAACTTGTATGTAATAAAAAATAAAATATTTCTGTTGTTTTGCTTCTTTTAGAATGAAGTCACAAAGGGCTCTAACAACTGATTGCACCTGAATAGTCCAACCAGTCTAATCATTCAATTTATTACCTTGTAAAAATTCACAAGATACATGTTCATAGATGTAAAAGTGTGTGTAGCGCCTGAAGTTGGAACTTTGCTCAAACCAGGCCATAAGATTTTACTCAATTCATCACATTGTCATGGCATGACAAGCCATTTATCAGCCTGACTCCATTAGAGATACAGCAATAGAAATAACACAAAAAGCTCAAAGTGAATTTCAGACAATTTGTGCTTTATCTTTTCAATTCACATTCTAGATTTTCTGTGAATATAAAATTTTACAGTGAGCAGTATACATAAGCGATAAAGCAGTTCATTGCTGGAGGCCCTATTTGCGCTTCTGTGTGGCTATATGGGAAATGCATTCTTTAAAAGTCACATTTTTCACCTTTTGGTGATGTAAGATATCTGTGAAGTTACTTCAAATGGAGACTTAGGAGTCTAAATATCCCTTAGTTCTATCTTGTTTACAGCATTACCTAAATCTTCAGGTTACTGTCTAGTATCTTGATACGGTCTTGCTCAGAATTACCTTGGTCTAAAGACATATTAACTTCTTTCTCACATAAAGTCAGTTATATTCTAGAATCTGTGGGAAACCAGTTATTCTTGGCACGATATGTTTATTTTTTTCAGACTGCATTTTGCTTGTAGTGATGATTATCTTTTATACATAGGAGATTAATAATTACAATGTTGTCCTGAGACTAAGATGAATTTCTAAGTTTTAAAGATAGGTCCTCAACATCTCAGGAAAATAATATTTCATCTAAAAAGAATCATTCTGTGTAAATGTATGTACTGCTTGTACCCAGCTCTTTTGCAATCAAGAATGCAGGAGTAACTAAGACCAAAAATAAAGTGTGAAAGAGGAACCGTTCTACTTCAGTGTAGTGACTTTTAAAGATTTAATACTTATATAATAAAAAGAAAGTTTAGTGTATTATTATAAATGATTCACAAAGTTCTGATGATTCTGTGATTCTGGCTCAGGCTCCCACATGAAAGGGTTCTCTTTCGGGGGCTGTGCTGCTCATAATGGTCTAACACATCATAAATACTCAAGATGCTTTTATTTGACATTTCCTTTCCCAGAAGAAAACTTAAACCTCTCCTGTAACAGCTTTTCTGTAAGTTTTCCAGATCTAAATTAGAATTTATGATTAAATAAAAAGGAATTTCTGAGACTAATTGTGTAAGACAAAGTCTATCTACACAAGTGTCCCATGCATTCCATAGCATAGATACACCAGCACATGTATGGAAACACAGTGATTTGGTTCTGGCATCTGAGACATCACAGAGGATTGGTCACTGAGTCTGTAATGAGGGGCAGCAGTGGGCAAATCATGAGGGGTACTGCAGCCTGGACCAGCAGTGATTGCGAGTGCACATGCGGTGTAAGGCTGAGCAGAACAAGGGCTGGGGCAAGATCACTGGCTCCTGGAGGGGTTCGCCCCCTGGAGTGAGGGCCCAGCCACCAAGGGTAGCACCTTGGAAAGGACATGGTGCCACTCAGTTTCTTTACACCATCTCCAAACCCTACCCCCTGAAAGGGGGAGGAAGAAGGAGAAAGAAGAGAAGGAGAATAGGGTAGAAGAAGACGATGATGACGAATTTGGTAATGCATGTGATCTGGGCCAGTTCTGGACTGATGGCATCCAGTGGCCTGTGCCATCCAGGGCTGAGATGTGTAAGCTGGTGGAGGATCTGGCAGATGAGCTTCTTTGTGCCTGCCAAGCATTTTGCAAGCGTATCTTCAAGGCACACCTACAGCCAGCCATTAGAATGACCTGTGCCTATGAAGGCTGGAGTGTCTAGGAGGACAATGTTATCTACTGCCTGCACATGGCCCTGCAGCCTCCCCCTGGGCATGACTCCTATGTGGAGCTGGACACCACAGAGGAGATGCTGACCAATGCCTCCTGCCTCCATATGCAGCTAAAGTGCATGTACAAGAGGGAGCAGACGGTGGGAGACATGGTGTGCCTCCTCCACTACCACAGGGATGACCTGGAAAGTCAGCACCCCAGCCTCCTTGACACCCTTTGCACCAACTCTTCCTTGGACATCCAAAAAATTGCCTGCTGGTTCCAGATGCTGGTAAAAGACACCTGGAAGTTTATGCCTCTGTCACAGTGTTGCCAGCTGAGAAAGCTGACATGCTCCTGCAAGCTCCAGCTAACAAACACCTCCAAGCAAACCCTGTCCATTGAGATGATTTTGGGGTCCAGCTAGGCAACACCAACTTCTTCCAGAGCCTTGAGTAGGCAAAGGCCAGATTGACCACCAGCATGGCATGGCAGGAGAGCTGTGATGTGGCTCAGATATGTCACCAAGAATGGCCAGCACAACGTCCTCCACCCCAGAAGGGAGAAATTTATCTAACAGAAAGAGATAGATGAATAGGTAAAAGGCAAACCTTGTGCTTAGGAGCTGAAATAAAATAATAAAAAAAAAATCCTAAATTTAAAAATTAAAAACAACTGTTTCAGTTATTCCATTTCTAAAATGTAGTCTTGTCTCTCTTTTAGTGCTGACATTAGAAGTTGTCCTTGTAGCACACTTATTTGTCATTGTCTGTAAGTGTTTCATCAGGTTTCTTTTCTCCTCCAGTCCTCCATATTAAATAACACTGCAAGGAAGTTCCAACCCAAACCTAAACTAAACTGAACACAATAAAAGAAGTAACCTTCTTATCCTGTTGCCCTGAATCACAAGACTTGGAACATTCCACCTTTTCTCCTGGTTTTGTACTTCAGGCAAAAAGTTTACCAGTAATTTTTTCCCTTCAGTAAGTCTTGATTCTTGCTCCATCACATCTTTTCTTCATCTTCATGCTCCTCATCTTTAGCTCAATCTTTATTTTGCTACACTCTATACTGTTAAAGCTCTGTTTGGAGCAGCTGAAACTAAGCCCTCACTTATACCAAAAGATCCATGAACTATGACATGCCTATCAAGACAAATTCACACTGTGTTTTTTTTTCTTATTTTTTCCTCTGGTTTTCTAAAAATAGCAGCAGAGATAAGAAGATACAGATCTGATTTCCTTTGTGTCATTGCAGAGCCAGAGGGAAATTTATCTCTTTCTGGCAAACACAAAGGAGGAGACACAAACAAACCAGCCTTGTGCAGCTAAGGCCACTTGACCAGCACAGCTGTTCTGAATAATGTGGATGACTAACGTGCTTCAGTAATTTCTAATATCCTACCTCTGCTTTCAAAATTACCAGTGTAAAATATCAGAGCTTGCTGTATGATAACAATCATATTTCAATATAACTTTCCACTGTCAAAGCTCTGTGTTGAAGAGTGGGAGGAATCCAATATGGAATATAAACCCAGAACAGTCTTAATGCAGTTGTGAAAGCAACCATGTATTTAAAGTTTATGTCCTAAATTTTACTTGCTCTTCCACCCCCGTTCACAACCAGTGCAGTAGAGCATATGTAAACATAAAAAGGTACCCATTAAAAACCACATCAAATAAACACATCTCAGACAGATTCTAACAAGAAGATATTTTTCAAAAATGTTTTGACTAGCTCTGGTCACACAAAATAATCTGAGTGCAATCAAAATAATCCCCATTGCTTCCCCATGATGAAATCAGCATCCTGAGTTGTTATCATATATTTTGAGAAATATAAGCAAGAATAATTTCAGGAGTACAGTGTGTTAAGATACTGCATATTTGTTAGATTTTAGATAAAAATTTTTAAACCACTTTGGTTAGAAATATGACTAAGTCTACGGTTATTATTCAACCTATTAGTATACAATATGAAAAGTGAGTAAGAGCAAGGACAGGCCACAAAATTGTTGATGTTTCTTTAAGAAGAAAGTCAGAAGTATGTGTTACATTCTTTCCTTGTGTTACTGCCCGTTTTATAAAACCAGCACAAATTTCTCTGCATTCAAATAATGCTCAAAATATTCAGCATCACTGAAGTAAGATTTAAAATATAATGTAAAAATAGAGAACTTTGACTCATCCTTAATATGAAGACATAATTACCGCTGTTTTATCACAGGGGGTATTATTTTATCTTCAGTAATTTGTCCCTTCATGATTATTGCTATCAACATAGCATTTTGAAAAGCTGTTTAACCCATGATGTAAGAGTTTGAAGTGATACCACAATAAATCTGAAGTTATTGCTTCAAGTGATTTTGATATCAACAATTCTGGGTTTAACATATCAGGTTAAGTCTTGTAATGGAAAAAATGCTAAGAAAACAATCAGAATGTGAGGAAAAAAAAACAACATTTTAAACACTGAAGATACTAGCATGCAAAAAAAAACCTTGAGTTGGATCACAGTATTGATCACTGTTGGATCACAGCTGCTTTAAAGCTAGAGACAAAGGGGAGAGTCAGCTTATAGCACTGGAAGTGCTAAAATTGAACAGTTTACTGCTCAAAGTGCTATTATTCTGCAGTAAATCTCCTAATACATTTAGTGGGATATTATCGTATACTCATTATGAGTCAACTGAGTATTAATTGTCCATTTGCCCAGAAGTGCTTTTCTTGGATTTTGTTGTGGGGTATTGTTGTTGTTTTGTTTTTTTTGTTGCTTTTTTTTTAAGACAAACTAAGTAGCAATACAGTTGGTTTGGATATTTTTTTTGTCATCAGTCATTGAAGTAAAGTGTGGGCAATTAGCTTATATGCCAAGGCAGGTACATTTATACAGCTGTGCTGCAAGGTTGCTAAAGTAATGTAATGCACTTAATGAGACACAGGAATTGTTTCAGTTTCTGATCAAGGCTCTTGGGGCCAATTATCCACCTAGAATAAATCATGAAAGAAAAGACTTTTGCTGTATATTTTCCATTGAGGTAGAAAGAAATTTTATTTCACATATTTTGAAACGAAGGTAACGACTGACAGCACACAGTTTGAATATCGTTAGGGTACGGACTCGATCTTCTTTTTGTCCCACTGTGTATAGAATTTTTGAGAACCATTCTTGACTAGGATTAGTAATACAGTAATGTATTAACAATCCAGATAGATACAGTAAATAATACAGTAAATTCTTTAATAATACAGTAAATGCTTTCAATCTTTACTAAACTAATACTCATCTATGTGAGAGAAATGCAGCAAAAGCTAAATTCATGAGGGCTTAATTGAATTGGAGTTAAAGAAATAACGGAAATTATGAGCAGACTCAAGGAGTGAGAAGGGAAAAAAAAGCTTTAGCATTCAGAAAAGCAGAATAATTGTGTTCAGTTTTTCAGAGAGCAATACTTGTGCTCAGAGACAGAGAAAAAGACTGCATTGTGAAAGAGATAAAACAATTCTCCCTAATTTTAAAATACAGTTTTGGGTTTAGACGCATTTTCACATGGAACTCTCAGTTGGTTCTGTGCCTTTTCTAAAAGAAAAATTGCAAGCCAAAATTCTAATTTTATGAAAAGTCCTTTATGTAGGCTTTCCAGCCAAAATTTTATTAACAAATAGTCTGCTGCTATTTGCACATCATTATTTTTTAAGGAAGATAAAATATTCATTCCTAATTTTTATACAACTTTTCAGTTCATGCTTTATTTTAGATTAGATGTGATAGCACAAAGTAATAAACAGAAATTAGAATATAATCTTTTTCAGTTAACAAAATAAAAAATTGATCTCTGAAAAATGAAGCTTTCTACAAATTTTGAACATGTGAAATGCTTTGAAGACTGACATTTCTAATATCTATAGATATATCCTGATGAACAGATGGAAAAATGATCAGTTTCCTTCAGTGTTGCCATTGCTTCAGTTACCATAATAATCTGATTTACTAATTCTGACTCAAGGTCTTAAGTCAAAAAGAAAAGTGTTGTATTTTGCTGTGTGAGGTTGACTTCTTTGAACAGCAAACCACACACCACCATAGCATGTGATGCACTATGTTGTATAGTAGTTAAATATGCAATAACGTTGATAGATGAGCCAGGTAGAATTTAAATTTGAGATCCATTAGATAAGCTATGACAGCCTCAATTTTATTTAGAAATAGTCATCCTTGGGCAGATAAGTAGCATTAGAAATGTGTATGATTGATTGAAAATTAATGACTTGCTCTTAGCCTTTGCACTCATTTATATATGGAGACCTAACAGTTTCTTAGTATTGTGACAATGCGCTTGACCCCCTTAACCAAATTATCAATAGTTTGGTACAGCCTCCAAAGGAGATAAAGGCCAGAACTATAGCCAAACCAAGAACTCCTCCAGGAAACCCGCAAAAGAGCAGAATGACCAACTGAGCATCTACGTACATGAGCTTGGAACACCAATTATGAAATTAACACAGAGATAGTAGGTGGGTTTTCCAAGACTCTTTTGTCAAGGAGCAAAGAAAGTTGTGGGTACAAGGAGCCTCATATATACCTTTCTACTTTATACACTTTGACTATGAGCCATTCATTTTATCACATAAATATTATAGCCTAAGTGAGCCTTCTTTGAGCTCTCCCTGCTAGGTAGCAAGGCTGCATGCTGGTGATCTCCTCTTGAGCTGGGACACTTCCCAAGGCTGTTTCTCAAGGAAGACCTTTCTACTAACAACAGACCTTTGGATGAGTCTAAATTGAGTTCTCTCTGAAATTTCAACTGGACTGCAAGCTAGTGACTCTCCCTTTGAGCTGGGATGCCTCTCAAGGTTTGAGCTTCCTTGATCGAGACTGAGAGATCTTTCCTTACGCAAGGTGGAAAGTCCTCTTATTTGCAATAGATTCTTGGTTGAGATGCAGACAGCATGCTTAATTAATACCATTAAAATCCGTGTGTTTAATTCCTTTAGACATCCACTGTTGTCCACATCTGAGACTAAGACTGGACCTAGCAGCACATAAGCTCCATCAGGAGTTTAGAAAGCAAGAGGGTCCACTCTGAACCTTGTGACTCAACAGGAGGATCTCCCTCTACCCTTTTGCATCTTCAACCTCTGTGTAAATCTTTTTAAATTGATTCTAACTTGATCTCCCTTTGTATGCTTCATCCATTCAGCAAGTAATAGAGTGAATCTTGCTATTGAACTTTGTTAGCTGCATTTTTAAGAATTCATATTAAAACCACTTTTGCTAACACCTCTGATAGTGTTTCTTTAAGAAACCTAAATCACGCATCTGTGACAAATCGGCATAGTCACCAGGATCCTAAATCAGGATTTGTGACAAATATTCAGACCTATATAAAACTGTATGATATGGGACGTGAAAGTCCCCCAAACTAGGAAGACAATCATTTGTCCTTCATTTGAGATTCCTGGTCCAATTACACTGTCTTTTCCACTTCAGAATTCTGAACTTAATTTCTAAGACTGTTAATGTATGAATTCCACAAACTAAACAGGGATCTGATTATGATTTCTGTAAAGAACTACCAAATTGAAAGGTATTCAGGAGGAGCTGGAATTTATGCTTTAATTTGCTCAGCAGTTTAGAAAAAAAGATAAAAAATTATCAGATAAGTTATTCCTTTTTTTCAGCTATTCAAAATTACTATGAAACTAAAAACAAAAATATCTTTGAGAATTAGCTATTACAAATACCTAATTCTATCTTTATGTAATACCAATTTGATGTTAATTTAACAAAAGTCAGACAAGAAAAAAATATTTTCAGAAGCTGAACTTTCCTCAGAGAATTTGTTAATACAGTAAGTCTTTGATCTAACACCTGAAGCATTAAGGTCAAAGTATAGAAGTTCTGGGGAGGCATCAATATTTTGGCAAAGTTAATTGAGAATACAGTGTGCTCCAAAAAATTAAGTGTAACAGTCCAGAGGTTTGGTTTTTAGATGCTATTCAAGATCTTTGTAGTATTAAGACTGTGCCCCAAAAGCATAGTTTACTTAAAACTTTTAAAGGGTTCAGTTATCTATTTTGAAATTTTTCGTTT